AAAGTACTACAAGGCGCAAAAAACCGCAAGTCTGTAGCACACATAGTTTTATGGCAATATTTGAACGAAATTAACATTACCAGCATAGGGCGGCGCAGAGGCGAAATTGTCTCCCGCGTAACCTTAAGAGGAGCCATCTCTAAGTTTAAGACTTTCATCGGACGCGCAAAGGGGCAGCCACTACTACGCCGTCGGGTCGATGGCCCCTCCCCTTCTCAAGGAGGTTGGCGACGGGGGCGGCGCGGCGGCGGCGCAGCGTGGGTGTGAAAGGAGGGGCGGGAGGGCAACGGGAAGGGGGTGGGCGTACCTTCCGCGAGGGGGGCGGCGCGAGGCGGCGACGCAGAACGCAGAGTGACAGCGCCGGCATTTGTCAGTCTCGTGTCCTCTCCTTTTCCCGCGCAGCCCGGCCCGGGCTGCTGCGGCTGCGGGCGCTGCAGTGGTGATGGTGACCTCGGCACGCACACACACACATACACACACACACATGCACTCACGGCAGTGCGGCGGGAAGGGCTTTGAGTAACGGCGGCCCGTGACGTCCCCGAACACCGATCACCGCCAAATTAGCACCTCATTATGAGAAACAGATGTGCCGCGCAGACGAGTCGAGGCGCGACCGGACGAGCCGGGCGGGAAGGGAGGGGAGGGAGGAGGTGAGGTGAATGAACCGGTTAAATATGAATTTGTCAAACACACAACACACACGACTGCAGGACCGAGGTGAGAAACGTCGTATTCGGAAACTTGTGCCTCCTCGGTGACGTCGCAATCAGCAACATTCCAGCACCGTAGCACACGACCTGACTGCGTGACCCGAGAAATGGGTATGGCTCCAGTTCGCTATGAAGCAGTCGTTAAAAACCTTGTCGAAGTTGAAGAAGCGCCCCGCTCCCCTCTAAGCAACGCGCAGATAGCGTGCCTTTCGCGCTAACCTTTCCATACGATAAAATTGAGACGTTTCGACCACCTTATTCTTCACGGGGGAATGACCATCACAAGCCCCCACCCCACATTCTCAAACCAAAATGCATTCATGTACAAGTATTTTGATGGTTCGCCACGCGAGCATTCTTCCATTTCTTTTCCAGAGTGTATCCTCCTGCGGGCGCGGCGCGGCGTGTCGCGGCAGACAGCGTGTGACATGACTTATGCGCTGTCATGACAGTCGGCGTAAGGTTCTCACAGGAGGCGGGGGGAGGGAAGGGGGGGGGGATATAGAAGTAGACGGACTGGCTGGCCCCGAGGAGCGAGAAAGACGGGCGAAACGAAAGAATTTTTGCAGTTTTGTCACAAATTTTGGGGGGGTCGCGTTGTCGTACCTGCTACATGTTGTAACTCATGAGAGGAGGGGGAGATGCCGACGTGCGTTTGGGCGGACAACAGGGAGTGGATATCTGAATCTACAGTACTCACCGAGTCATAAGTCTGCATGGAGTTCCCCTCGCCTCGAGCACTGATAAACCTGGCCCACAAGACTCCCGACTCCGACTTCAGCTAGCTTTGGACAAGCCTAGTGCAAAATAGGTGTCTAGTGCCAGGACCAAGTAAGCGTGCAGGTAAGAGCTGACGGGTGATCTCTTCCAACGGGACTTTCTGGAACAAAATTTCATTGAGAAATTGAGTGTGGCTTTACTAATAACTGTTTCTTTGGGCAAACCAAGGGCAACAGTACAAATTTCTTTACCCCATTCAACTTTTCCCTTGAAAAAATTAAAATAAAATAACATGCTACATTGCGATTCTGTGGGTTGCTTGTGCTTTTCTGAATTTTTAAATCTGACCAGGGAATGCAGATGCAGGGATGCAGGCCTATGGCCTGGCTCCTCCAGCACCTCCCTTACGGGGAAGTCGCGGGGTATCGCCGAGAAGTGCGCTTCCGAGGGTGCAGCTCAGCTCCATCTGGCGGGCCGGGTGGGAACCCGCCTGCGAGCTCACTAGCATCGTTTCCGCTCTAGATAGCGCGCGGAAGTTTAAACACATTTGATACGGTACAACGCACGTAATTTCTAAAACGCTGTTGTAAATTTTTATTGTACGCATTTCATGACTTTATAAAGTCATCTACGTCAACTAAAAATTAAAGTAAAAATATGGTAGAAAGAAGATCTTGGATAGTTATACAGATCTGTTTTCAGAAACGGGCAGTGTCTTAGAGATCATTATAATTAAACTATTAATACAAAAAAAACAAACAGTATAAGGTAATATAAATCACCCAATGTTGTGGAGTAACTAGAAAACTAGTTGTATGGTAATCCTATATGCCATCTATCAAACATATAAATGTAAGAAATAGAATGTAACTAAACTTCAAAAACTTCAAAAAGAAAAATTAACAATGAAAATGTATAGAAACCCTGAATAGTATAAACAAACACATGGCTATCTAACACAAGTATAGATCATTAAAAATTTTAGAACACTTACAAAAGTCTCAAATGTAACAAAATGTAAAAGTACAATTTGGTAACAAAAAAGGAACAAAATCAACAGAGTAAAGAAGAATATAACAAAATTACAACAAATAACAACTCATAGGTTGTAGTCACCCTTTCAATAAATATATCACACAATACCTGCCAAATACTCAATAAACAAATATGTTTACAATATGCTGATCCAATTAAACTGATTTTAGCATCTTACCTACTACTCTTACTTTTCTGTCGAGTCAAAGAATGAGATGAAGTTGATGGACGGCCTCGGCCATTTGACCCTGAATACCCAGAATGCTGTTCCTTCCACTCTGCTTCAATACGTACATAAGTGCCACCTAAAAATAATCATTTGAATTAAGTTAGAATCCTGTCATATAAGTAAAATTGTAACATTTTGTTATAGTTAAAGGCATCTTTCTTTACCAGGTGGGGTGTAGTGCCCATTCCACATGCTGTGGTGATGAGAATGATGGTGATGGTGGTGGTGGTGACCATGGTGGTGATGGTGTCCATGGTGGTGGTGGTGGTTGGATCTGTGCTGGCCACCAGCAGCTGTGCCAGTTCCTTGCACACCACTGGTACGCCTTGTTAGCAAAGCTGCCATGTGCCGCACAGCCCTCTCTTCATATTCCCTTTGATTATCTTGATTATTTCTAGTTGATAACTTTGAAATCCACTGAGGACCTGTGTCTACTGGCCTGCTTGCCGTTGCTCTAGTGCGTCTATTTCCTGCCTTTCTCCTCCTCTGTCTTACAGGACGGAATCGTGTGTGGCAAGATTCCTCAGAATTTTCCTCTGACACTTCCTCACTTTCAGAGCTAGAAATTTCTGAACTGGTGTCATGTTCCAAAGAGCTCCCAATACCTGTGCTACCAGAGACTGCACCATTTGTAGCTGCAGGGGAAGCTTCAACAGTAGACATTTGCTTTTTCACATTAGGAGTTTTAGCAGGTGGTCCACTGCTGCTTGTGTCAGTAGAAACAGGACCTAAAAAAAAAACAGAGTAAACATGTGTTTAAAAAACTATGGGGAATATCTAAGAGCTAGATAAATGTTGCATATACTGACTGGTTGCACGAGTAAGTCTTTGTTGATAGCTGTCCCAGACTCTGCCCAATAGCCCGTGCTTAGTTCTTGCTGGAGCCAACTCCAAGCCATCCCACCAATGAATGTCACGATCTTTACTTCTGTTTTGGCCTCCAGGACCCATGCTATTACCCTCATCTGGATCTAAAAAACAAAAACTCAATTACATTGTGTTTCAAAAAATCATAATACACTAGCAGTTGTGCACTAATGCACACATAATACCTCTTGAACTCGTTGCAACTAATCTGCTTAATCTGTCTGACAATGATATAGGTGGTGGATCAAATGTTAAAATATTGCTATGTGCTTGAAATATTCTCTCTATTTCAGTGTCTACAACTGTTTGTAGCAGAGGTTGGTGGGAGCGGAAATTACAACCCTGCAACAAAAGATATTGAACAAATTACCAGTAGAATTTGAAAAATCCTCGGCAATAATCACAATTGCAATAGAAATTACATACCGTTGAACTTCTCACCACCTCAAAACGATATACACGCTCTCCACAACATGGATATCGACCAATTGGATAGGACAGAGTTCTCTGGTTCTCCATTGAAAAAAATTGGGGTGGATCCACATGATGTAAACACCAGTTTCTCTGGTAAATTGGATAATGGGAATGACAAAGAGAGCAAAATTGGAAATGACAATCACCCCACAATCTCCAGTAAACTCTTCTCCAGGATTTAAGTTCAGTCCTAAGAGTTTTAATGTAGTCACTGAGATTCCAATTGGGTTCCCTTTAAAAAAGAAAGGGGAATTAAATAAATATACTTGGCACTGGAAGTATTGGATATAAAATTCCAGACATTAAAAGTTCAGGCTTACCTTGAGTGATTACCATGCAAAACACCATTTCTATCAAGTCTTGAACTTCCTGGTTTACAAGCAATTCGTCCACCAAGCTGTCGAAGAATGAGTTTTCCACAACGGCTGCATTTAAACAAAGCAGCTAAACTAGCATAGTGACCTCTTCTTGCATCTGGTTTTGGTTCAGCTAATATGCTGATGAGTTTGCAAAATATTCTTGACTGGACTCTATCTTTCTTGTCTCGAAGCTGTTCTACATCACTATTACTGTACAAATTTGCTAACCTGAAATAGATAGATAATTGCTTCAATTGACCAGAATTTTAACAAACTTATCTGATAAAACATTAACAGTACAGAACACTTACTTTGTTAAAATACTGTCATTAAGACATGCCAAGTTAGTGGATGTCCTCAAAATACTGTTCATATTTTTGTGACAATAGCGTAAACAGTCCTGCATCAAAGGCTCCATTTGGAGGAAAGCGGCAGAGACAAGAATAGGAACTACGTTACTTGCATCTGAAATACCGGTACAATTATTAAAATTTTGATATTTTAAGTTTTTGTTTTTAAAAAATGCTGAGGAAGAAAGGACTGCAACTACAATAAAGATTTGACCTAACAAACCTAAAGTGGGAGGACTTTCATGAGGATTTAAATCTTTTTTGACCCATCTCATGAGCCAATCAAAAATGTTGAGATCACAGTGAACTGATATATCCATGTCCTCTAACTTCTGACCTGCAGAGAGAAAAATTACAATTAATTACTACATGTGCAGTGAAGTTTTATTAATCGTAAAGGAGGTATAGATAATTTACCTGTAGTAACTTCAGCAAAATAGCCCATTTTTGACACAAGTAGTTTTTGAGGGCAACGGAAATCTTTCTTTAAGTTTTTAACTTCATCACAAACATGAATTTCAACTTCCAAACTTGAAAGAAACAAGTCAAGAAAAGTTAGAAAAATGATCATAGGAACAGTCATTATAGTAATCTGAAGTATTTAAATACTTACTCAGGTTTTGAACCATCTACAGAGGGAGTTGTTGTCAAAGTGCGTGTCCTTAATTTTTCACCATGCTCGTTTGCTTGACCATCTTGAGGAGACAAACCTTTTCTATTTTCAATGCTTGATGAGGAACTTTTACTAATAATTGTTGGAATTGTCGACATATTAGATGAAACTAAAGGTTTTGGCACCAAGTATGGCAGCACTGAATCCAAAATCCCTTCTTCAAGTACATCATTTAATTTTTTCTTTATAAGAGTATCCACTGTGACAGGCTGAGGTGGTGGCTGAGGGGAAACCGGCAACACAATTTGATTACTCTCAACAATTGGAGTCTTTAACAAAAAGTCATTTTCCAATGCGACTGATCCAGTAGACAATCTTCTTTCTAATGGCATTGATATCTTGGGTCCAACACTTTCATCAACATTTCTCAAACAGTCAATAGAGATGCTTTGCATTCTTTGAAACATCATGAAATTCTTTCTCTTGTCATTGCTGATGACGGTTTTATTCAAGCCTATGACATCATCAGTCACATTATCTAAACAACCATTAGAATCTGGGCTTGGTTGGGCAGCTGCATTTGTTGTGCTTTGTTCCTCCAATTCTAAAAGATGAGTAATGAGAGGGTTTTTCGTAAGTTGATTCCAATCTACGCCTGCCTTATTACTGACATCATTTGGTGTACCCTCAATAGCCTCAGCAATCTGGTAAAAAATCAATTCAGGAATGAGAAAAATTGCAATGACATTTACCAAAAACATGAGTTGTTTTTAACTTACCTGATAAGCAGTGCAGAGGAAATCAAGAAAATCTTTCAGAGAAATTTCAGCACATGGATCGGAATTCATGTCTGCATTAACAGGACCACACATGGTGGCTGTCTTCTGGGAGGTAACTCGTGGCTCCAAAGCCATCACCTCTCCTTCAGAAAATCAGCAGATTCCTAGACATTTGAAACGTGTTGTTACATGGGCATTTATTTAAAAGACATGTGGATTCAAAGATCTAGCTAAGACCATATTTTCTGCGCAATAACAAAAATTAATATTTGGAAGGGAGACGATAGCGACAAATACTTGATCTTCTCAATTTACTATTTAAAGTCAATGAAACATGAGAGTAGTACCACACAATCACAAGTTTTACAGTAATTTATTTACGAAAAAGGTTAAACTAACTGTAACTTACAGTGTCATCGGCTCTGTGTACACTTCATAGTGAAAGAAAAATAGAAAAAGACACACAAAACACAACGAAAACAAACATTTTTACACATTTCTATGTTTTCAAGATTCTCCGTACACATGTTACGACTTGCAAACAAGTTCGTATCCATCATTTGTACCAACTCCTGAACTGAAAAAGTATGGCTTTTTGTCAGTCTACATGCACTCTTATTCTCCTTCAAATCATAAAATTCTGTCGTTATTATAGTAACACCTTCAAACTCATCTTAATTACTCCGAATCATGCAAATTTAAAAATATGGTTCAAATACTTGGGTTGGCGGCTCTGACACCTTGTGGTCGCCGCACAACGGAACGGAACGGAACGGAGCGGGTGTTTGTTGATGACTGAACACATACTTTAAACCGACATCAGCTGATTTCTTTCTTGTCCTTTCAAAATCAACTTCTAATTTTAATTTTTACCAATGTGTGACTTTGTATTATCCCAGCTTGTGTAATGTCAACTTTCACAGAAGAGAGTCTTTTCAACACATCTGTTGTGCTTATGAACTCCCTTTTGTCAAGCGTTTCTAACACAGTACTCTACGCAATTGGCTTAACCTCAAACGTCACCGAAGGGTGCTCTGATCTTTCGGCTCTACCCCTGTTGAACTGGCAAGCGTTGTTTTCGTACGACGACTTTCAAGTTGTTCTGCTGAAAGTCTTCCTGTTTATTCTTGCCTTCAATCTTGTGTCCATTTGTATTGCTTGGAAGGTGTATGGGAAAAATATATACGAAACTTTTATGAAACCAGGTAAAAAGTGTTTTTCAGTCTTGAGTATTTGCAAGGGAACTTAAAGTTTAACTGTCAACATTACGTTTTTTGTAATTATTATTTTTTTTTTTTTTTTGCAGTTACTCCAAAAATAATTGAGGACTTGAAAAAGAGTGTCTCTCGTCTAAACTTACCGAAGGAACACTCCCCAAGAGTTTGAGTGCAGCTGCAAGTTTAAATAGTCTTTGATTTTAAACTGGTAGAAAAAACTCAAACTCAAAATGGCAGATAAAATTAAGAATTTCTTTAAAAAGAAGAAAGTGGAAGCTAAATTTAAGATGGCTGGTCCTGGACGCAAGCTAACAGATGACTCATCTTCAAGATCATTGCCTGTGGCTAATTCTGCTCCAAGTGCCCCTCGTGGTCCAATGTCTGATGAAGCCCGTCAGGCAGCTGCTGCTGCAATGGCAAGGCTTAATGTAGGGAAGCGCCCTGACCAAGCAGCCTTTCAAACGTTAGTGTTTTAATTCAGACATGCTGCATCAGATAATTTTTTAGAGGGTTACCATATTGCACAGTTTTATTGAAACTGTTGAATTTTATGTCATAGATCATTAGCAGCAATACAATCTCAGGTCCGTCGAGAAATGGAGGCTGAGAAGAAAGCAGCACTGACCCCTGAGTCCTCCCAGCAATCAATTAAGTCACAAACTCCAGTTGAGTTAGAAGCGAGTCCACTTTTGGCTGTTCAAGGAGTATACTTCCGCTGTCCCTTGATAAGTAAGCTATTACTGATTTTCTTTGTGCTAGTGAGATCCAACTAAATGAAGAATCTAGCTATACTCACTTCCTTTTCTTAGGCGACGAAGTTCTTTCCAAAGATGATTGGCAAGCAAAGATTCGAGAATTTTTGTTTGAAAATCTTGAGTCAGAAAAGGGTCTTACCGCTTGCCTTATTATTCACTCTTGCAACAAAGGAAGAGAAAAGGTGAGGATGAACTCAATAGCACTGATTTGAGCGTTTCTAAAATTACAGTGTTTAAGTAACTCTAAAATTGTCAATAGGTCAGCAACTGTGTACAAACGCTTCAAAAATACATGGATAATATTATTCAAAATCCTGATGAAGAAAAGTATCGACGTATTAAGTTAAATAACAGAGTTTTCCAAGAAAAGGTAGCACCTTTGGAAGGTACCACTGAATTCCTTGAGGCTGCTGGGTTTGAGAAACAGACACTACCTGTAAACGATACAGAGGAAACATTTTATGTTTTTTATGAGGCAACACCAGAGACCTTAGAAAACTTGCAGGTTTGTGTTTCATAGTGAAATTTACAAACTTACATACCTGTTGTTCTTAAAACAATTTGTAAACCTTGTAAAAATGTGCAGATGCTTTATGATGCTTTGGGAAGTGCTGAACCTGTACAATTAGAGCTTGATCGCAATCTACAAGTGCTCTATCCCTCACAAGCATCCAAACGTGTTGAACTGCCCCCTGTTTTCTTCAATATAAGCGCTGAGGAATTGAAGAGAGAGCAACAGATTAGGTAATTAAAATTTGTTGTGTGAATTAAAACTGTAGTTTGAAAAAGCATCTCACTTTTGTTAAATGCGTCTTTCAATAGGTCAGAAGGTATTGAGCGTAGTATGATGTTGAGAACCAAAGCTATGAGAGAGAAAGAAGAACTGAGAGAAATGAGAAAATATCGGTTTGCTCTGATAAGAGTTCGATTCCCTGATGGTATATTGCTTCAGGTGAGTTGTAGCATTACTAAAAAGGAACGGATATAGAAATTTAGTGCTTAAGATTGCACACTCTAAATTGGTTTATTTTTCTCAGGGTACATTTGGAGTGCATGAAAAAGTTGAAAATATTGTAAGTTTTGTCCGTGAGAATATAGAAGATGAAAATTTGAATTTCTGGCTTACAACACCTACTGGCCACAAGCTAACTACTGAGGATGAGCAGAGTTCTTTAGTTGATCTTCGGCTAGTTCCTGCAACTATTCTTATCTTCTCAGCTGATTCTGAAGGCCCTTCGGACAGAAACAAAATGTACTTGAAGGGAGAAGTTATGGTACTTGTGCAACCAGTCAGTTGACTTGTCTTCTTTTTATTTTTCAGTCCCAGTGCCTGTTGTCTTATGTATTTATTATACTGAAATGTATTTTAAATGATTTGTTATGGGTCAGTCAAGATATGTTGCATCTAGTTTTCAGGGTATAACTTATTGTTTTTGAAAAATCTAGCTATTTAGCAAAGCAGTTACTACTGTTGTCGACTTTGTCTTATCATCAAATTTGTGATATTTTTGTTTGTTTGTAATAGTCCACAATTAATTTTTGTTTTAAAAGTCTGATACAATTGATGTGAGGTTTCCAGAAGAACGTTAATTTTTGTGTCAATTTTAAGAGCATAATCTTCATTTTTGCATTTACAAACCTTCATCAAATTTTCTAATGCACACTTGAAAATAATAATATATGGGATTAGGGAAGTCTCAGTGCCAATCCTCAGCATTTTTTGGTCATCTGTCTGTATTGTGTTACATGCACATGTTCAATGGGAACTGCTCTGATTTGTTTTAAACTTTTTAATTCTACTCTTGTGTATCCTTGGTAGACAACTTTTTTATCAAGGAAAATAAAAGTAATAATTTGAGTAGCACATTAATTTTGCTTCATTCCTTTATTATCAACTACTTAGTCTTTGGCCATTTGCCTCCTAAAAGTAATGTCCTTTCTTAGATTTTTGCTATAATTTCATCATATTTTGCTTGCATGTAGCAGCTAATGAACTGAAGAAATCAACTATTAAGTACTTGTACACGCTTAGGCTAGATTGGTTTTGAAAATAAATAAATATTTGACGACAACTTGCGCGATGACTGTTCTATGCGATGCCCCTCCTCCCCTGGCCGCCGCCGCCGATCAGGCTGTTGATGTTGACGCTCGGCTGGTCTCCATCCTCCGTCGTCACGGGACCCAGTCATTACCATACGATGAGCGCGAGGATCGGCTCGGCAATTTCTTCTTCCGTCGGCCTGGCCTGGGCGGCACGGCAGGTGTGACCTCACGATCTCATCTAAACTGTTAAAAAAATATCGTTCCGGTATGTGATATCGTCCATCGTTTGAACACAAAACAAAATCACTGTACTTTGAAGACAGCTCTTATGTGTGCGTGTGGGGGGGAGGGCGTAGGGGCTAGAATGCTGACGTTTTAAGCTGTTGTTGGTGTAGTCCGGGAAGATAGGCAACCCAACTGACGCTCCTGTGTCATCTTGGTCATCTTGCGCCAGTGCCTCCCCGCGCTGCCTCGACTTGGCTGGACTCGGAACACTCATCATCACTCACTTTCATGAATAAAAAAACAAAATTCTCTGGGTTTTATAAAACATTTTATTTCGGAGTGTAGGGTGGATGAACAAAGACATGGGGGTCAAATAGGACGGTTCAGTCAAGCACTTCGCAGCGAGACGGTTGAATCGAGTTGTTCAGTCAAGTTGCGTGGAGTTGGCTGGAGGTGGGCTTCTGCTGCGGGAGGGTGCTTGGCGCATCCAGTCCATGATGCCCCGCTATCTCTAGCGCCCCATGCCGCCCATGCCGTACATGCCGTTCATGCCGCCGTAGCCGCCTCCCTGCATACCAGGTCGACCCATACCCATACCCTGGCCCATGCCGTTGTATCCTCCCATACCCTGTCGACCCATGCCCTGGCCTCCATAGCCGCCCTGGCCGCCCATGCCTCGGCCCATGCCACCCATATTACCACCCATGCCCCACTGGGCGTAGGCGACCGCCAAGAAGCAGGCCAAAACGGCGCACACGATCTGCAACAGGAATAAAGACACGGGGTGTGAACAGAATGCCGAAGTCACACGAGAAGGCATCGCACGGCTCACTGGTGGTGACGCGAGGGAGGGGAACGTTACGCGCCGAGCGTTCCAACGTGCCAACGTTTCACCGCCCGAGCCCCTCGGTAGCGGCAGCAGCAGGCCTGAGGGCTCTCGGGGCGGGCCGCCGGCTCAGCACAGCTGCTTGACGGGTCGGCCTACCCAGAGCGTTGCAGGCGCTTCAGTAGCGTGTGATGGCGAAATCAGAAAACTTTTGCGTGCGGGGGTGCAGACTAACTGTCCTCGCCTCGCGGGGAACGTTCATTGCGGGGGCACTTTTAGGGTTCCTGCGGGACGCGGGACATCTGACGCCCAAATTTAGCCGAACGAAAGTAATTTGGGCCCTTCAACCGTGGGCGTCTGCCAGGTCTACCAGCAGCGGCGAAGCCGAAGCTTGCAGCTTGCATGGGGGCTCCCCTCTAGCAGGTGTTACACAACCTGGCTTGACTCGATAGGCTTCCCTTTTCACACCCCGCACTCACAAGACACTGGCAACGGCACATAATTTAATTATAGGAGAGGGTACTGACTGGTATTACCACAAGCCCAAGTCCGTTTTCTGCGAACATCGTCTGTCTTTCCTATGTTTTCACAGACAATTTCCGAAAACAAAACCGAGTGACGCAGTTTTGCATCGTTTTGGAATCTGTTTCGAAAAAGTTGCTGTAGCACTTTACACTGCGCCAAGTCTACGCCCTGTCACCCAGTTTATAATTGGTCGAGAGACGACTGCTCGCATTTCGGTGACTTTCGGCCCTCATATCCAGGAGGGGGAACTAGGCGGTCTGCACGATCATGTGTGTGGTACTCACCAGGACTCGAGACATGTTGCTGTGATGAGTGATTTGCTTCGCTCTGTGTCGACCTGGACCAGAGCCGTCTCTTTTATACGATCAGTAGACGGCCGCTTCCGTCGTGCGGCTTCCTCGCCTCGCCCCGCCCGGCCCCGCGGCGGGCGGCACGCCTCCAAGCACGCCCGGAGGGCCCCGCCGGATCTCCGCGGGCTCCCAGAGGGGGGATCCCGATCCCGCCCGCGCCTCCGCCGTGGCCGCCGAGGATTTGGGGACGCTGGAAGCGGGAGCGGGGAGCGGGGGGCTGGAGGGAGAGGCACAATAATCGTCCAAACTATTCACGAGCAAAACATGGTAGCGTCACGTCACCATGGAGCGCCGGCTCCTTTGTGTGATTTCAAGGGGTAAGTGTTCTCGGTGTTGGCCCTCGTGAGCCGCCTGGAAGGGTTGGCAATTTCGATACAAAACCCCTGTATATAGGTGGCCCAAGGACCCACTGCCCCCAACCCCACCCCCACCCCCTGCCAGCCGGACCTTGGGGCTGGAGACCCCGATGTGTGGTCAGTGCGGAAAGGGGATGGGGGGGGGGGCAGGTATCGGATGTATGGACACTTGGCCACAAACACGTCTGGCTGTCACTTAGAGAAAAGTAGGAACGAGGAGATCAAGACGTGATAAGTCGGCGCAATTAGCAACAGATTTGATCGCTCCGCCTTTCCGAGTTCGCACGATCGAACCGAAGAATGGCGTGTCTTCTTTTACAGAGCTCAGAATTACGTAAGACGATCCTGCTCCTTTTCGAAGCCGTGTTTGTTTACCCAGGAAAGCCTAATTTTCCTGGGCCCCTTCCCCATACTTCGGTAATAGATTTGGGAAATCCAGGAGGTTCGTTGCCGAAAATTAAGGTTGAGTCGTAGTCGTAGGGGCTACACATTAGGCTCAAAATATTCCTCTTGTTTGCTCTCTGGAAAGCAAATGTTGCCTTGCCTGTAGATTTACGTCAAGCAATTGCGATAAATTCTGAGGGACGACTGGACATGCCATGCCTTGCCGCTTGCCCTATGTTAGCGGATGATTTTGGCAGATAGACTGTTTACAAAACACATTCGATTTGGGGCGCACGCTTTATTCCTTCATTTTTTCGTAACACACCGAGCAAGGGGTCAGTCAGCCCAGCCCTTTTTGCAATGTGAAGGTCGAGTTGATTGTCCCCCCCCCCCCCAAATCCCTCCCTTGCGCCTCTCTCCAACACTCCACTCATCATCGTCACCATCATCTAGATCATTGTTTTCTTCTCCCACTCTCGGCTCGCACAGTGCACTCACATAATCAAGACGTGTACACACAAGTACAGACTGTGCCTGCCATTCATGAATACACGCCAGTACGTCGCACATCATAGACGCGCTTTGTTCAGGTTTTGGTGGTACAAAGTGCCCCCGCCCCCGCCGCCTGCACACCGCCGTCGTCTTTCACGCTGCCGAGGTGTACCGGGAGTCTGCTGATTGTGTTCCTGCCCTGCCCGACCCAGTGCCCCGCCGTGCCCCGCCGTGGCCGCCAAACGCGCTGCTCCCGCGGCCTGTGGGATAAGTGGTGCGGCCGCCGGGGCACGGCACGGCACGGCCCACCGGCGCGCTGGTCCTGGTCCAGAGGCGGCGGCGGGGCACGCGCACTCGATGCTCCTCCCGCGGATTTCGCGGACGCGGGCCACGCGGGCGGGCAAGTGCCTCCCGCCGCTGCCCAGCAGCCCATGAGGGGCAACCCTGGGGCAGCCCCGACGAGACGCGAGATTAGCGCTCGCGGCAGCTTGGCAGAGGAGTCGTGCCGTCGTGGCGTTCTGCCATGCCATCGTGTGGGCCTACCTAGCGTCTAGCGACTAGCGACCGCCCCGCCCCGCC